TATATATTTCATGATCAGCCTCGATAGGCTGCTGGTGATGATCATCTGCACCGGTCTACTGCTGGACATTAGGGGCCTCTCTCCCTGCACCAGGGACTTCCTTTCTAGGGTATACCTGGTTCCCCGGCTATTAGTACCCGGCGACGGCGTGCGGTTTTAGTCGGTTCGAGTCCGACATGCCACCGACAGGTGGTATCCGAGGGGATAAAAAAAGGGAAAAAAAAAAAAAAAAAAAAAGGGGCCTCTCCAATTTAAATACTCGTTCTAAAATAAAAAAATTGACATTGTCGTCTCTTCAACTTCAAGTAAGTATAATAAGGAAAGATCCATTTGTTTGAAATAGATTCTGAAGATTATGGTTATACCTATTGCATGTTGAAAAGGCCCACTTAACATAAGGATATGTACTTAATATGTGATTGTTCTGTAAATGTCACACATTCGGAGGTTCATTTTGGACTGCGCTGGAAGTACGCCTTTTTTCGCCTCAGGCCGTCTTGATTGGAGACTTGGAAAGCAGGCTGTGTTTCCTGCGCGAGTGCAAAAGTTAGGATCCGAAGTGTACAGATCCTTTGTGGTTCGAAATGAAATTTATTGAAGTTTCATAAACATACATAGTCACCTTTTATATTCAGACTAGCTGACCCGCGCAACTTCGTCTGCGTCTCTCAATAGTAATAAATTTTCTCCGTTTTTGAAACATTCTTCATTGGTGCTCCGCTCCTATTGGTCTTAGCGTGATGATATATAGCCTATAGCCTTCCTCGATAAATGGGCTATCTAACACTGAAAAAATTTTTTAAATCGGACCAGTAGTTCCTGAGATTAGCGCGTTCAAACAAACAAACAAACAAACAAACAAACAAACTCTTCAGCTTTATAATATTAGTATAGATATTTTTCTTATTACTATATTACTAACACATTTATGAATAAGGCCATTATGAGAGGATGTAATTTCAATCAGAGAGCGATGTTCATTGGTTCAGTATTAAGTTGCATAATAGTTAGGTACTTACTTTTATGCGACAATAGGAATAGGGAATATGCACGTGACACCAAAATGGACAAAATATTTTTATTTGTAATTTTTATTGCTAAAAGAAGATACCCATACAATTATTTTTGAAATTTATTATAATTTAATAGTGAAATTTTTTTTTGCTTAACGGTTTATGTTTCGGATGTGTTTTTTTTTTTTTTTGGTAATGTAATAACTAGTAGAATCGTTTAAAAAAATAAAAAAAATACATGCATATTCCCTATTACAAATACAGACTAAAAGTTATCACTAAGATTTTTGTTATATGTTGTTACCCTTATCATCTTGCTTACTGACCTAGTTCATCGACTCAAGTGTGTTTGTATGAAACTAGAAAGAAAATATGCTTTATTGGCAACCCATGGTGCACCTCCAGAAGATTATTATATTATATTAAGTTCCTAGGTTTAAAATAAATTATTTCACCTAAATCATTAAATGTAACATCTTAAAGTACAGGCTGAATTATCAATTAAATGTTGTTATTGTTTTGATATGTCCAGCAGTGGACTATTTAAGGCTGTTGATGTGATTGTTGTGATATCTTCAAATCAACAACAACAATAAATACTTACAAATGATTTAACAATAGCTCGGTATCATGTATTTGTATTTCATACAAAAATGTACCGCGTTTGTCGTTTATTAAAAAGATAATGATGTTTCTTGTCAGTCATCTACCACATACTTGCATCAGTATGTAAAATAAACCAATAAATTTATTATACCCCACAGTTTGATCAACAATCCAACTAGATACATAGTCTCGAACAAAAATAAAGGCTTAAAACGCACTTGCGGTTAGCCGCAATGCAGTGTGCCGACCAGTTTGCCACTAGTCGAAGGAGGTAAAGGTTGTTATTCGAAATTTTAATTAGCTGTTGTATGTGTGTCATAGATTTAGACGCGGAAAAGTTCAGTTTAGATGCCAAAGAACGCTCCGCTATTTATACACATGTCCAATATTTCTAACCGCCCTGACGATTACGGCGGACCGCAGTTGCACTAAGACGACGCGGTTGGCCGAAATACGACCTGCCGCCATGCCGTTGCGGCTGACCGTATACGCTGCGGCGAACCGCAATGCTACAAGCGCCGCCGCGCCGTATTCCGCCTAACCGCTAGTGCTTTTTAAGCCTTAGGCTTAAGGCCTAAACTGTCTTTAATTATCCATAAGTACTTATAGCTATATTATAAACACATATCTTTTTGCAAAATTTAACCTTAGTAGTAAATCACATAAAATTGTATTAAGTAACAAAACAATAGACAAAAAGCAATGAAATTTTATGATCGAATTAACCATTTCTTCAGAATGTTTATATCGCCTTAATCATCAGATTATGATTATACTCGTATGGGCTTGGGCATGATTATATGCTTTTAGCATGTAAATGGCATCCAAGCGTTTGCAGACTTGGTGCTTGTGGACGTTTGCCAAGCCACGGCACGCATGTTAACTAGGCACAAACGCATGGATGCCACTTACACGCTTGCGAGAGTGTGAGCGTGTTCTAAACATGCAAACAATAACAGACGTAGACATATTTTTTTATTCAAAATATAAACGGAAACACTAAACACGATACGATAAAAAAGCATCTAGCCCTCCTACTTAACTAAAATGCAATTAGAGCATTGAGACTTAATGTTGATTCCAGACTGCTCAACCATTATCAAATTGAGCAGTGGGGAACGAGCACGCGCAAATTTGTAAATACATAGTAAGCGCTTGTCGCAAGTTTCCACAGACTATTTTGAATAATATGAGAAGCTTCCTTTGATCTGTGTTCAAAAAGCGACACTAGCCCCGATCGACGATAAGCTCACGCAAGCCAATAAAAACCTAACACCCCGTTTACACGCTTGTATTTTTGGAGACTTGTCATGGCCTGCCAAGCATTATCTTGTCAGATTGACATGACATACACATAGTTCGTAGCTCCATCTAGAGCAGACTAGGCGAACTACTTAGTACACAAACACACTCGAGTCTAAAAATTTCATCGGCCAACTCGTCACGTGTATATAAAAATTATAAAAAATAACATCGGCTGCTTGTACATTTTCAGTACGGTGAGCTCACAGAGTACTATGTTCAGTAGTGTTCTGCAGCAGAAATTCATGAAGATTACGAAATGAAAATAGAGAGAACCGATAATGAATCTGGTGGCATTTTCATAAATTTACATAAAGAAGTTACATGCACCATTTTGGTCCTACGGCTTTGTGTACCTGCTTTATTTAGTAACATGCCCACTTTATTAAGTTTTACTTTTATAATACTAATTTTAACTAACACAAATCGCAGATAGATATATTTTAATAACAAGAATAAAAATATAGCACTACAACCCCACCATCAAAAACCCCGCAATAAATAAATAGTGGGTAGTTTGATTTTTAAAGACTTGCTAGTTTATTCTTCGCCATGATCGTTCATTCCAGGATTTCGTTTGTAAAGTTTATTTAAACGAATTTAGTAGTTTAAACTAGTATGAGTATCATAATGCAGGGGCGGCCTTTTGGAGTGGTGAGCAGGACAACCGACCGGGGCCTCGCGCAAAAACGGGGCTTTCCCGTGTTTCATTTCGCCTGTCATTTTGACAGGCTTCGTCGTCTGTTCAGCGTCGACTGTCGTCGGCTTATGATTTTATGTTCGAGCAGCAGTAGCAGTATGGGTTGCGTTACATTATTTGTTTCAAGTGTCATTATGAAGACTAATGCCACAAGACAAGGGCCTTGCAATGTACTATCCGCCCGGGGCCTCGCAGTTATCTACCCGCCCGGGGCTTGGCAATGATCTACCCGCCCGAGGTCTCACAATGGCTAAGACTTTGCATTTTCAATGCAAAAACCTATCTAAAATTCTGAGAGAGATTGTTATAAACGCAAGTAAGAAAAACTACTAACGCCATCTAACATATTTTTATTGGATTGGATTCAAGTGTTCACGCGAATATATAACTAAACCTATAGATACAATTCTAAACGTGACCGTACTTAAATCCTCAAACACAATTCTCTTTATTTCATAAAAAGAATTAAATTGTTTAAAATCGTCTTTTATCTAGACTCTAGTCATAGCACAAAAATAGTTTGAATGTGGGCAGCTTTCCCCCTACCGTATATATATTTATATTTTCCCTCATTCGGGTTTTTTTTTTTTTAATAATTAGCTTATTATTTGACTGTTTATAGTACATGGGTGTTTTCGCCCAAAAATCCGTTATTTCCGTTCGCTTTAAGATAAAAATAAAGTGTAAAGTTCATATACATACATATATTTGAAAAATTTAGACTAATATCCGTCATTCTGTGGCTCTATTGTCATCCTTTTTCAACAGATTTTCTTGCAGTAATGTTTTTGTTTAGTAAAATAAAATGCGGCAAGGACGCGTGGTACTTAATCTGAAATCTGACTGCCATACTCGCGTCTCAATATTAATTGTACGCATGTGCGGTAGGCAATGATATAAACATCAGAATAAAAAAAGAACACCTAGGCAGACCATTTATCTTTTTTCTACAAAAATAAAAAGCTAACACACTTCAGTTTGCTCCAATGTAAAACCAATAATATGTGATACAACCTTAATACAATATGTCATTTGATCAAGCATAAAAATATACAAATACCCTACAGTACTTGGTTAAAACACTGGAACAATATAAAACTTTTTTATTGTTCATATAAATTAGTATTAACAAAGGTGTTGGTTTATAACTAATGAGATAAATCACTGCTAATATAATATGCTGGTATTTAAATTAAGAATTTTTTTATGATTTAATTTGAGTATGGTAACACACACCTATCACAATGCACATGCACACTCTACACAGTCTACACTGGAATAAAAATTATGAATTCCTTGTATAAATTAAAAATATATCAGTAGCCTTTATCAAGCATACAATATTAACAATGATTTAATTAGCTAACAGCTACTTAAAACTAATGGGACTTCTTAGGCTTAGATAGTTTCTCATATTTGCTCTTAGAGGAGTACCAGAGGCCGAAGGGGATAGCCAGAGACGGAAGGGTCATGACGGCAAAAGCAGCCCAGTCCAAGATATGTGAGGAGAACTTGCGGTCATAATCCTTGAATGCGACAATAGCACCCTCTCCAGGGGAGCTGCTGATTGCATGTTGGACCTGTAACAGATGAGGCGTAAATTATTGAGGACTATATTAAATAGGTAATGATTCAGTCTAACTGATGGGCTTGTTGGTCTAGTGGTTAGTGACCCTGACCACTAAACCGGAGGTTGTGGGTTCGATTCCCACCCAGGACAAATATTTGTGTGATGAGCATGATAACTTGTTCTGTGTCTGGATATAATTTATTTATAATATGTATGTATTTTGAAATATATAAGTATGTTTATCAGCAGTCTGGTTACCATAGTACAGGCTCTGCCAAGTTTGGGATCAGACAGCCGTGTGTGACATGTGTAAGGGTATAATTATTTTTATAATTTCAGAATAAATATGAGTTTTGCTGAAATTTTGTGAGGGAACAGGTATTGATAACACTCCATCTGTCTATCTAATGCCGAAATGTATGCAAGCGCATAACTTCCAAACGACTGCACCAAATTGAATATATTTTTTGTATTCATTATTGTCCGGACAAGGTTTGTATGAAAAAAAATTGAAAAATAGAACATATTTTTTTAAATCACATAAAATGAAAACAGAGTGAGTGAATGAGACAGAAGACTCTAAGAGATCTATTCTAATATTGTTAAAAGGTAAAGTGAGTTTGTATGTTTAGGGTAATCTCAGGTAGTGTGGGTTTGAATTAAAAAATCTTTTAGTGTGGATAGCCCTTCTATCGAGAAAGGATTTTAGGCATCACAAAATTTTGAACTGAAACTAAAAACTTGACTGTCTTGGTGCTGTGGTAGCAAATGCGAGCTGAGCTCTCGAAAGAGAAATGTTATGAAAACTGTGAAAATGTATTCCTATTGAGAAAAGCAGACTTAGCGTTTCAGCTAGTACTAATATAAAAAGCTTTTTTTTTATAAATGTATTGAATTATCAATTACTACATTAGATAATGTTTCTTGTATGAAATCCCATTCAAGTGTTTTCCTTATAGCTCAGTCAAGTTATTTCAGTGTGTACTAAGTATAGGTTTAAATTTCAGCAAAATATAAGAAAAAACTTAGAAAAGGAAGAGATTTAGAATACACAAATGGGGAATAGCATGACAGTAAAATTAACTAAATAATTACAAATTTACAAATGAATATTTGAAATTCACATTTCATTTAAGTATTTATATCAAACATGGTATTGAAAAATGAAATTTAAGAGATAAGATGTTCACTCAGAACAGATAAGACTGATAAATTTGACAGGCCTGTTGGTCTAGTGGTTAGTGACCTGCTAAGACGGAGGTTTGATTCCCACCCAGCACAAATTTTGTGTGATGAGCATGGTCATTTGTTCTGTGTCTTGGTGTAATTAGTCTTTAATATGTATGTATTTAGAAATATATAAGTATGTTTAGCAGCAGTCTGGTTACCATAGTACAGGCTCTGACTAGTTCTGGATCAGATGGCTGTGTGTGAGGTGTAATATCAAATTTCTTTCTTTATATTATCTGTTACAAGCACCAATAGCATAAGAACAAAAATAATATAATTAGTGAAAGTATGTCAAAGGAAAGAACAAGACACTCACCTCAACGGCATCTTCGGTGGCCTTGTAGGTTACTTCAGCAGAAGTGAAATTGAAGTATCCATATCTGTTAGAGCGCACTGTTACGACATGAGAAACATTGGTTTGAGGGGGTATCCTGTCAATCTGTGCAGATAGCTGACCACCAACAACAGCAAACACTTCAGGATGGAATCCATTATCAACGAGCTTCACATCAACAGCGGGCGCCGTACCGACATTGAACAAAGTGTATTTGACCAAGATGTCCAAATTTTCTACCAAGTATTTGTTCAGTACTTGCTTGGACACAAGTAACCTGGCAATTGCCGGTTCATCTTCTGCCGACACCGCGGTAGCAAGAATAAGGATCAGCGATAATAGCTTGGCAGTCATTATGTCTGAAAGTCGAGAATTAAGATCTTAATTTGAGATACTTATCTAGATAGCAGATTGATCAACAATTACAAGCGAATTATTGAATGAAACTACATTTTTTAAACATACACTTACAGAGCGAGTAATTCTCTAAGATACTGTCTATACATTGTACTTAAAACTGCTTTCACTTACCTAATTTTGTGCTTATTATTAAACAACTAAATGAAAGATTTTCGTAACGCAGCAGAAGATCAGTGACAGGCAGTTGTACGTGGCTGACGTTTCACTCCACGCATTCAAAATGATTGCCAGTTATAAAATAGTTATTTAATATTCTGGTAGCGTTCATAACTACAAAACTTTTAGTACCATTTTCAGGTTTGTTACTGAAAAACATTGGTCATTAAAAACTCAATCTTTGTTATAAAATTTACTAAAACATTTCCACTTTTTAAAGACTGAAAAGGTACGGATAATTAAATTACTTACATAATGGTGCTAATTCTGTTGTTCGTAAACTCTCTAAACTAAACTAAAAATCACTAAAAATTAGTTTAGTCCTGTCAAACAACGTTTCGTATTCTGACAACGTAGAACTTAACTATATTTAGTTTGACACAACCAAAATTAGTTAAGTTACTCAACTTAGTCCTTTTTTGCTCATTTGTTATTCTGTTGTACTTTCTAAACGTCAAAAATTGACTAAAATTAAAAACGTCACACTAAAATTAGACGCTAGCTAAATACATCCCGCCTAACCTAATAATTAGAGTTTTTAAGTATAAAATTTAAAATTTTAGAAAATTAATTTTTAAAAATGATAAGTGATTACGTGATTATGGTTTTGGTCAGTTCAGCGGAAAGGTATGTGCATAATATTATTCATCATAAATCACAAATAATTATGAGCCTTATCTGAATTATTAAAACAAACATACTTATGTATTATTTTTAGAAACTATCAAGAACGAATACGCTTAGAACGTATGCGAGATAACTCCAATCCGTTTGAGTTGGCAGAGGAAAAATTTCAGAAACTCTGCAAACTCTGAAATCTGCTACTTTTCAATTAGTCAGCGATCTCGATGATCAACGCCTGGATGAAGGCTTCATACCTAAACACCTAAAGGTCTGCTTTATTACATTGAGCACAATATAAATCCACTGTTTCTATCTTGTACCTACTCTTCATATTGAACTCATTTTTCAGGTTTTATCTGCACTTCAATTTTTTGCTCAAGGGAGTTACCAAGCTGCTGTAGGGCAAGACAATTTCATTGCACTTAGCCAACCTTCTGTTAGCAGGTGCATTAAAATAACAGCAGATTTAATAGTGGAGAAGCTTTTACCTAATTGTATAAAATTTCCCATGACTGAGAGTGAAAAACTGATTGCAATGACAGAATAAGTTAACAGCCATATATTATTGTTTTGGTGATAATCATCAATTTCTACATCTTAAGTATCATAAGATCTATGAAATACTTATAGTGTTCACCTTTTCAGATTTCAAGAGTTGTTTAATATGCCTAACACCTTAGGTGCAGTAGATGGGACACATATTTCAATAGCAAAGCCATCTATAAATCACACTACTGCACCTGGAAATCTTTTCTATAATAGAAAAGGATTCTACAGTATTAACTGTCAGATTGTGAGTATCATACTCCATCCATACTCTATTATTATACTAAATATACATACATACTCTTTATAACTTCCAACAGCATTCACAAAATGTTTATTTCTAATGCAAAGATTATATAACAACATTAATTTCATCTTAAATAGATGAAATTAATTAAAAATTAAATTTAGTCATTTTAGATTTAAAAAAAAACCCATACAAATGTATATGAATCAGGACAAAGAGTTTTAATTTGAGTTAGGTTTTGCATATTTAACATAAATTTACTTATATTATTTTGTGTAGATTTTAAATACTAATTGTCTTTTAGGTGTGTAGTGCAAAAGGGAAAATTATTGGGCTCAATCCAAATTTTCCTGGCTCAACACATGATGCTGCTATCTGGAGAGCATCAACTATAAATCATTTTTTAAAAAGTAATTTTTTGTCTGGAGAGAGAAACCAATGGCTTTTAGGTAATAAGTTTGTACTCATTTATTGATTGTTTTATTTATTTGTTAGCAGTATATAATATATTTACTTATAACATATACACACATATATATACATGTCTGTACTTAACACATTTTACTGTTTTGTTCTTCATTTCCAGATGATAATCATTATGATGTGGAAATACAAGATGTAAATATTGTGGTTGAGGAAGAAAACCAAGATTTTTTGTTAGAGGCAAGACAGATTCGGGAAGAATTAATACAAACTCATTTTAATTATTAGTTTTAATATATTGTTTAATTAAAGTTTTTTATTATTTATATAATCAACAATCATCATAAAAATCACAAACAAATAATAATTTAAAATAACATGTAAAAAAATCAACAAAATAAAAACAAAGGGACAAATAAAATAAAATGGATTAGACAAAGTTATCAAACGAGCTATTCTTGCAGGAAGTAGTAGCAGTTTACGAAAAATACAACCATAGCAATAACATAAACCAATAATAAAAGTTGATACTTTACTATTGGTTAATGTTGTTGCTATGACTTGAATTATGTGTTGAAGTAATTGCTGATGCTAAGATCTCAGCAGCACGCAATGTAGAAGCACTGCTGTCTCTCAAAGCAGCAGCAATCACTTCAGCACTATGTCTAATGGTTTCTTGTAAACTGTTACTGCTTTCTTGCAAAGAACGTAACAGGTTGTCGTAGGCAGGAGGACGTGAAGGCCTAGGCGTAATGCGGCGTCTTGGCACAATCCGACGACGAATTGGGCCGGGTACTGCCGAGACACCGGATATAGGCTGCGGTTGCTCCTGTTCCTCCTGTTCCTCCTGGGGCTCCTGCGGAGACTGCACAGAGGGCAGCAATACTGGTGCAGGTGGCGAGACGCGCGCAAAAGAAGATGTTATTCCCTAGAATTAAAATAATAACAATGACTTTATTCAGTAAGAAGTCTGTATGTGTGTATGTGGCTTAACACCTGTATCATGGCAACAGTGCTCTTCCAGCATAATAACTTACACCCAGACACCAAACAAATGACCGTGCTCATCACATTACATTTTTTCTGGGTGGGAATCGAATCCAAAACCTCAAGCTTAGCAGTCAGGGCACTAACCACTAGACCAACAGGCCCCGACTAACAGTGTATGTGAGTTCCTCTCTATGTGAATTAGGGAGTGTGAGAGGATGTGTAAAGGTCTTGTAATAAAATAAGTATGTATTGTGTTTCGCTATACAGCATTACGTGATAGTATGTTTTAAGATTAAACAATATTTTACCACTTCAAGACTGGCAAATCCTTGAATGGAGGCAATCCCAACTACATCTATAATTTTTTGCTCAATATCTGTGAGCTCAGATATAGCTGGTCCTCCTCCTGTTGCCCTTATGGAGTCATTAATTTTGCGCGCCTTAGTCTTAACTTTGGCCACCCATACACTCCAAACCTAAACAAAAATAATTAAACAGGCATAAGTAAAGACAATATAAATAAATAATAAGTTGCTATGGTATACATTTCCCAGCACAAAACCTGTTAGCAGAATGCTAAAATTAGCAGTTTGTAAGGGTGAGAGATGCTTTCTATGCAAATTCTTTGACCGCTGGTGACCGCTTTAACTACTACAGTATAAATTCTATTGAATGTTACTGAGATTGAAGGTTTTTACATTAGGTATCACTGGCTTCGTAAGTTAAATATACGTCAGACGATCTTCACGACTTTAGTATTACAAGAAAGTACAAAACAAAAGATACCGTTTGAATGAGTAAAAACACGGGTCTTCTATAAGATACTTACATGCTGCCACTGCTGTACAGTTCTATTACAGCCCAAACTGTTAAGCTCGTTTGATAAATTGGTCTAAAATTCCATGGTACTTGGATCTGCCTGATTGCCTAAAAAAACAAAATTAATGTGATGAAAATACAGTTAAAATTAACATAGTAAAAATGATATTCCTTAGAAACTGAAACACTGAATAATTCTCACCTCTCGCCACTTCTAGGTTGTTATGGAGGCGCTCAACCAGCAGCTCCTGCTGCCTCTTGTTGGCCCTCTTTTTCCTATCGTCCATTACTATTAAATAAAATATATATAATAAAAATATATATTCTAATTACAATAAAACTATACTGTCATGTCAAATTGACCTGCACAGATTTAGAAATAATAACTTTCGTACATAGGTAACCAATAAGGTTTACCACGGGTTGCCAGTTATGTGAACTAAGTAAAACTGTATTTACTTCGTTATAACTGTAAAATACAACATTTTGTTTACTATTTGATCTATAATATGCATTAATAATCATTTACAGGCATTCTAAAATCCTAAAAATATCGTTTCAAAAGATTTATGAATTCACTCTAAATCTTTCTCTATATCATTCATTCCTAATTTTTAAACAAAGGTAACATTTCCATTTAAATTTTTAGTGATGTCAGATTCAAATTTAATGCTGTCAAAATGAACACCAAATTTAGTTCGACCTAACAACAGAATAGCATTTTGAACATCGCTTGACTAAAATAAGAGAATTTTAGAGAAATTTTAGTTTAGTGATGTCAACAACAGAATTAGCACCAATATGTAATTTAAATCGCAATAAATTTTATAAATGTGGTTTTTTAATCATTCTTTTAAAGGAGTTTTCTCATTTTCCATATCGGAAGTTCGGAACGCATGAAATGCTTCAACTGTCAAAAGATACGTGTTTGTTTTCTCGTAGGTTGAAAATTTATTGAAAATGGGTTTCCACGGAAATTCATAACCATTGAATATTTCGTATTTATATGTTAGTGTCGTAGTATTATTATTAATATAGTTGTAGTGAAAACTATGACAGAGAAAGAAGATGCTACCAATAAACCCGAAAAAGAACCATTAGATGACGAAGCCTTAGAAAAGTAAATTATTCTAATATTTTTAGAGTAACTTAGTTACATCCTGTCAATTTAAGGTCCATTAAAAAAATATTCACTTAAATTCGTTATTTTGCAATAAATTAGATTTATATTAAGTATGTTAACCGTCAATATCAACACGAAATTTAGTTTAGTTTCATATATTAAATTTCACAGATTAGCTGTAGAAGAACTATTACGAGAAGCAGTCCAAGGCGCTGCCAGAGCTGAAATAGTCGGTCCCTCTGGTTGGATCAAGGCTCCTCAACAAAAAACAAACAAGCGTTTCTTAGTGAATACACTACGCAATGCTGTAAGCTCTAACAAGCATCATTCACGAAACCATAGACATTCGCACAAATCACCCAATCGAGACAGACACCCAGAACCATCAATTAAGAAAGACAGATCTAAAAGAAAAAATTAAAATGGAACAAAACGATGTAAACAAGTTAATAAATGATATTTTTGGCAACAATGAGGCAAACTGGAAACCTTCAGACAAAATTCCTTTAATAACCAAAGAAATTGAACAACTTAAAGTTGATTTGAAAACATATTTCAACAACACTGATTTTGATATACCAGCAATATTAGAGGAAAGTACACAGCTATGTAAAGAAAGTAATTTGCTTGTCGAAGACATCAAAAAATGTGCTCAAGAAATTGAGCAACAGACCATGGCTGAAATAGTAAGGTCTATTGAGAGCCGTGACCAATTAACTAAAGAACTGCAACAAATTAATTTTGCCATGAATATAGTCTACGATGTAGTGCAATGCGGGAAATACGTTAAAGATTTTGAAGATGGAAGAACTGCTCAAAGCTTCACAAGAGCCATAGAAGCTGTGTATGACCTCTTACAATATTTAGAACTGCCTGCTGAGGGTTTTGGGGAGTTAGAAGTGTATACAAACACTAAAAACAATGCACAATTAATATGGGATAATTTAATCCATGATTTATATACTGAGTGGACACATATGGTTTCTTGGAATGTAGAAGCTAAGCCCCGCAAAACAGTAGTAACTATAACCTTAAATATAGAAGATTCAATTGTAGCAGTAGATATCTTGAACGCACTTGATAAAAGTAAGAAATTGCCTGAAAAGGTGCAGGAGTTTTCTCAGTTCTTATTGAATGATGTGTTAGTTCCTATTATACACCATGAATGCACTCTGTGTGAACAAACAACAAGGCTCATGACTATTACAATAATGCCGAAGCCAAATTACAAGCCACCGTATCAAACTGTCAAAGGTAATTTAAGATTACTATTCCAATATCTTCTCGTCAAGCTGCATGTTAAGTTTAAGAATGATACAAATATTATGCAGATGGTTGGCCACAATATCAGTTCTGAATTCAGTGCTATCTTGGAGAGAGATTGTCTCATTGATACTATACCGAACAATATAAATGAACTCCAGAATTATGGTAGAATAACCTCTGAAATAGAAGATTTTCAGAGATTTTTAGTTATACTCAAGTTCTTCAGAGAAGACCACTCTATTTTAAAATATATAAGAAATATTGATGTTTTATTTGCTAATAAGTCTACCCAGTATTTTTTGGAGACTGCAAGGAGTATAATGCTAAAGGATTTGAGCATCACAATGTCAATTGGTGTTGAAAGTATTTCTGATAAAAAAGTCTCTACAAAAGAATCCGAAGAAGAATCAGAAGCTTTGAATATTCTTAATGAAACAATTCCAAAGAGTTTGTTCTACTTTCCGAGATGTATGATTTCAAAGACTGCCCAGGAGTTGTTGGATTTAGTGTATGTAATGATGGAGCAGGCTGTGCAGTGTTCTGACGTAGTGTGTAAGAAATTGTACAATACAACTAGACTCGTCTTCGAGTTGTATGATGCTGTAGTTCCTTACCATCATGAGAACTATTTGCAGACAATTCCACAATATGTAGGTGAGTTTCTTAATTTGTATGAATTATTACTTTGATGATAAAGATAGATGGGCTTCCTGGAAATACATAACAGTATGTTTGATAATATGCATCAAATATAACATGGCACATCATTCAACATACAACCAATTTGTGGAACCTTGCGGTATTTCCGCACCAGACCTTCAAAACTTAAAAGAAGGTACTTCCTTAAAGGCTGGCAACTTCGGTACTCACTTTCCATCAGGTGACCCGTCTGTTTGTTTTGCACCATATATGTTATTCCAATATAAAGTGGTACTTAGTTATTCTGCACCCGTCATTTGCGTTAATGTCGATTTGTCAATCAATTTTGCCACTATCAGTATGCTAGCTATTCAAGACTATAATCTATGTATATGCAAAATTTCAGTCCGATCCATTCAGCAATCCTGCTGTTATTCAGTAACAAATTTCCATCAAAACTTTCATATTTATAAGGGTTTCCACTGACAAGGAGTGGAGCGGAGAGGTTCACTCCGTTAAAACCTATTCGGCATGGTCCCTTTGCTCGTCTTAAGTGGAAACATTTACCACTTTCCACTGCTGTTCTCCACTCCACTGTTATTTAATAGAAAGGCACCCTAATAGTTGTAACCACCATCAGTCAATCGCATCATGGTTAAAGCGTGGGACTTGTGTTTAAGTGGTTTAGTTTTCGAGTGCCATCCAGTATTAAGGAACAACAAAAGGTTAACAAAAATATTGGTAACATGTGACCCATGTTCCTAGTATTCTTTCTATTTAGAATGTTATAAAATTATATATTGTAACCGAAAAAAGAATCGGTAATCTAGTAGTCTTATTAATACTTTACTATTTTACTACGAAAAAACCTTTTATTACAGTATATGTATAAGTATGTTTATCAGCAGTATGGTTACCATAGTACAGGCTCTACATAGTTTGGGATCAGACGGCCGTGTGTGAGGTTATTATTATTATTAAAAAAAAACAATTCTACATCGTTAAAGATTTGTCTGACCTGTTGGACTAGTGGTTAGTGGTTGTTAAGCTAGAGGTCTTATGTTCGATTCCCAACCAGGACGTATTGTGTTAAAAACAAGATTATTTTTCCTGTCTGGGTGTCATTTGTCTCTAATATGTACGTATTTAAGTAAGTAAGTAAGTAAGTATGTTTATAAGCAGTCTGAAGGCCAAATCTCGTTATGAAAGTTCGGTCACAATTTAGTCATAAAAGGTATTTTTGTAGTAAAGTATTGAACACCCAACGTTGATTGATTATATCGTATTGTAACCGAAAATTGAATCGGTAGTGCTAGCCTTAGTAATACTTTACTATTTTACTACTAAAATAGCTTTTATGACAGTTGTGAGATCAAGAGTTGATCGGAACTGAATTGTGACCGAACTCTTATTAAGAGAATTGACCTTCTCGTTTCTATAGGACAGGCTCTGCCTATTTTGAGACTAGACGGTCATGTGTGAGATGTAAGACGTTATTATTATGATATATATACCTTCCTCATCATCATCATCATCAACAGCCTTTAATAGTCCACTGCTGGACATAAGCCTCTCCTTAGAAAGGAGGTTTTGGCCTACTATACCACGCTGGCCAGACGGGTTGGTATAGGGTTTGTGTCAAGTTTTCCTTCTCTCTGCAGTGCTGTTGTCCTGCGTAGTTTTTTCCCTTAGTCGGCTCTTACGACACCCACGGGATGATTAGGGGTGGTGACACTCTGTATTCTTAATCCGTCACCACACGGACACCTTCCTACCTAATATTTATTTTGTTCTTCCAGCACTATTTCACAACAACTGTATGTATATTGCACACAACCTTCTAACATTTGGAGATAAGTGGGCAACTCTTATGGAGGGACGAGAGCTTGATTACCCCATAAGCTTCGTGGACCTGGTGCAGAAGATGCGTGACCTTGGATACAAACACTTGACTATCCATATGCAGCAGCAGCGGAAGCAGATTCTTGATAATATTAGGTCTTCAGGTAGGTTCAATTGCTATCTCATCAACCCATCGCCGTCTACTGCTGAACGGAGGCCCCCATCCCGGTATTGGACAGTCCGTATCCATTCGCTGCCAGCCATTTTATTCAAGTCGTCGGTCTATTGTGCCGCAGGGCGCCCTATACTACGTTTTACGTTACGTATACGTTTGCCTAATACGGTCTCAACTCTAGCACTTTTTGGCTCCAGCGGCCTTCAGTCCTGGAGCAATGGCTGGCCCACTTACTTTAGCATAGTGATTCTCCGATGACCGTGGGCCGGGCTCGTTCGGAGTGATACCACAGCCTCACAGAAAACCGGTGTTTGGCAGTTCTTTTATTACTTTTCACCGAGTGAGTGAGGTTACTGGAGCCGGTTTACCGGTTTGCCCCTCGGGCGGCAGTTTCAGGGGTTCAAAAAGACGCGGCGGTAAGACCCGTTATGGAGGATTGGCTCGAGAGGCGTCACGGGACCCTCTCATACCGATTGACGCAGGTGATCACTGGGAAGGGATGTTTCGGGGATCACCTGTGTCTGATCCGCAAGGAGCCAACGCCTGAGTGCCACCACTGCGATGGCCAGACCGTGGACACGGCTCTCCACACGCTGGCAGAGTGCCCGGCGTGGGTTGAGCAGAGGCGAGACCTCGTGGCGGCCATCGGAGTGGGAGTTCTCTCGCTCGATAGCCTGATTGCGGCTATCGTGCGGAGCGAGGGTGCGTGGAACTCTGCCGTCTCCTTCTGCGAGCAAGTTATGCTCGCGGAGGAGACGGCGGAGCGGGACCGGGAGAGGTTTAGGACTCTCCCGGCCCGCCAGGCCCGGGAACGGGCCAGGTACCGCAGGCGACTCAGGCGCCGGAGGTCGCAGAACGACCTCCGTCCTCCATAAGCGCAGGCCTAGGGGTGACAGGTGAGGCCATCTGTCACCCTAGCAGAAGCAGGCCGGGGTGGCGGCGAGCGCGTTGCGAAGCGCGCTCGCTCCCAGGGAGCACAGGGAACATGGGGTTCCCACACGGGGGGGGTCGTCTACTCGTCTGTAGATGACCCGAGGTATGTCGGGGCACCAGGGACTTCCTTTCCAGCCGGGGAACCAGGTATACTAGGGTATACCTGGTTCCCCGGCTATTAGTACCCGAGACGGCGTGCGGTTTTAGTCGGTTCGAGTCCGTTCGAGTCCGACATGCCACCGACAGGTGGTATCCGAGGGGATTTCCGCACGGAAAAAAAAAAAAAAGGGGGCGCTATTAAGTGTTTGCCCCGGATCGACAAAATCTTAGATCCGGGTCTGGGTTTGGGCACCAGGTATAACGATTAGCAACGCACCTTAGACTCTCGAGTTGCAGGTGTTCTTGGGAGGCGGTAATCACTTTCCATCAGGTGACCAGTCTACTCGTATTTCATTGTATATCATTAAAAAAATCGTTACCCATAAAATGTTTATAGTGAATAAATATCAAATGTTGTTACAGACCTTAATTGCATAGTAGTGAAGGACGTTTTGAGCGACAACGCAGAGGCAGCTGTACGACAATGCCTAAGGCAACTACATTTATTGAAGAACGTTTGGATTGGCGTATTCCCGAACAACGTGTTCACGAGGTACCCCATTTAGTAATGGATATCAAACCTTTCAGGAAAGACCATTGACAATAAAGGGGTCTTATATTGTTTGTTAGCAAACGTACCTTTTATTAGATGAGTTTGACTGCCTCGGTGGTGCAGTGGTAGCGCATGCGACTGCTGTGCTTAGGTGTCGGGTTCGATTGCCGGGTCGGACTAAATGTTTATATGATCTGCAAATATTTGTTTTAGAGTTTGGGTGTTTTCTATGTATAATATGTGTGTATTTACAAAAAAAAGTATACATGTATTCTATCAGTAAATCTAGCTTTGTTAGTACAAGCTCTGCTTAGTTTGAGACTAGATGGCGTTGTGTGTTAGATGTCCTCCAAATTAATAAAACAAAAGTTTTGAATGCGATAACTTATCCTATTTGGATTTATAATATTTATTACTAGCTGAGACCCGCGGTGTTACCCGCGTTTGTTGTTATAACCGCGGGCAACGCCGCGGGGCGAAGCTAGTCTAAAAAAAGTAGCCTAAGTTACTCCTTATGTTATCAGCTATCTGCCAGTGAAAGTCCCGTCGAAATCGGTCCAGCCGTTCCAGAGATTACCCGGCACAGACAGACAAAAATTGTAAAAAATGTTATTTTGGCATATGCACCGTGTAAACATACATATGCATTTAGTAAAAAGCGGTTATTTTAATATTACAAACAGACACTCCAATTTTATTTATTTGAATAGATAATTTGCTAATAGTTGACTAGCTGTACCCTGCTATGTTTCACTGCGGCACATTGTGGTTACAAACGGAAATTAACGCGAAAAATAAATAAAACCAATTTTTGTATAGTCCGATGCAAACTTAATGGTGGCTCTGAAGTTAGCTGCGTACACAGATCTGCGCAGGTACCTACAAGTCGACTCGACTGTACGTAGACAGGAATATGCGCGCGTGTGCAGTGTATGGATGTAACTCACACACTAAAAGGCATGCGTGTCGTGTGTCGCCCTGCCCCCGCGCCCCTTTACGTCCCGCTGCTGTCTATTATTGTGTTCTGCGCATCGAAACGCACGATGTTCCGAGCGGCCAATAAGTTTGCATCGGACTATAGCCGTTTATATAATTCGCAGTCCCCGACGAACACTATGGTAATCGCTATTACGATAGAATCGGGTTTATTAAATATTCGTTATCTACACACCCTATTACAATCATTGAGTTTTTTTTATGATCGGGCGATGAATACTTTTGGATTTAGCGCTTCAATAATGATCTTTATGTTTTTGTTCAACGTATAACATAAGTGAAAAATTTACACGATCAATAACGCAAAAACCTATTACCAAATCTCAAAAGTCAACATTTTAGAGTAAGCGGCTATTACCATATTGTTCGAGGGAAAAATGACAGAATCTTATTAGTGGAAAGAATTGGTTAAACGACACCCAAGGCCGATAAATTCAGTGGTCGAAATTGATGGAGGTGGGAGTTTCTCATTTGAAACCAACTATTTTACAGTATAAGTATGACTTCGACAATGATTCATACGAGTTGGATACAAAACTTCAACTAAACAAACCCAAACGAGGACGGAAACGCGTCCCTGGCCAGGTTGATTTACAAACACTCAAAAATGTTTACAGCCACCCTTTACGTATAACCAAGGCTCTCTTACAACCCTTTTTAGCATTTTAAAAGTAGTATATGTCCTTCCTAAGGCTCTAGGGTATCTGTGTACTAATTTAATGTAAATCGGTTCAGTACTTTTAGCGTGAAAGCTACACAGACAGACAGAGTTACCTTCGCATTTATAATATTAGTAAGGATTGTATGTCTCGACCAATTGAAAACTCGCTAGATTATAAGCTGACAATATTTAGGTTCAATTTACAGTGCTACGAATAACCCTTTTTCTTTTTTTTTGGGTGCGGCAATACCCTCGGATACCACCTATCGGTGGCATGTCGGACACGAACCGACTAAAACCGCACGCCGTCTCGGATACTAATAGCCGGGGAACCAGGTATACCCTAGAAAGGAAGTCCCTGGTGCCCCGACATACCTCGGGCCATCTACAGACGAGTAGACGACCCCCCCCCCCACGTGTGGGAACACCATGTTCCCTCTGCTCCCTGGAAGCGCCACCCCAGCCGGCTTCTGCAAGAGTGACAGATGGCCTCTCCTGTCACCCCCAGGCCCGCGCTTATGGAGGACGGAGGTCGTTCCGCGACCTCCGGCGCCTGAGTCGCCTGCGGTACCTGGCCCGGGAAAGGTCCTGGCTGGCCAGGAGAGTTCTAAACCTCTCCCGGTCCCGCTCCGCCGTCTCCTTCGCGAGCATAACTTGCTCGCAGAAGGAGACGGCAGAGTTCCACGCACTCTCGCTCCGCACGATAGCCGCAATCAGGCTATCGAGCGAGAGAACTCCCACTCCGATGGCCGCCACGAGGTCTCGCCTCTGCTCAACCCACGCCGAGCACTCTGCCAGCGTATGGAGATCCGTGTCCACGGTCTGGCCATCGCAGTGGTGGCACTCAGGCGTTGGCTCCTTGCGGATCAGACACAGGTGATCCCCGAAACATCCTTTCCCAGTGATCACCTGCGTCAGTCGGTATGAGAGGGTCCCGTGACGCCTCTCGAGCCAATCCTCCATAACGGGTCTTACCGCCGCGATGACGGCGTGCCCGGCTACAAATAACCCTGTAAAATTAATACAATATGCATCAAAACATAAATAGATAAATAATGTCAAATTTAAAGTAATAGACACATAAAAACTTTGTTTATACATAGGTACCGAAATGGTTAATTTTACTGCTTGCCTTTCATAACACCAAAAAATGATCATCGAATAAGCATGTAATTTATGTTTACCGTAACATTAAAGTCAGTTATATCATCGAATACGATTGCAATGTCATTTTACGAATATAAAGTATATTCATATTTACCATGGAACAATATCATAATGAACGATTACTACAGCAATACCGATTTGTAATTACAGTCGAACACTATCGTAAAGTTAGTTTGCGTTAATTTTTTTTATAGCTTATTTCAGTAATGGACATTTTCACAATTTTCTTACTGATAAAGAAAATTTATGATTAAAATTTAGTAAAAATCTAGTGCAAAAAAATATTCCCTTATTTTTGATAAAAGAATCTTCTTTTTAGTCTTGATAGTATTCAAGATATTCAGTTTTTATTTGCTCCTGTAAAATTGACATTTTCCTATTACGATTTTGTTCGTCGAGGACTGCGATATCGTTTTAGAGTTCAATCGGTGTATTACTTTTGGAGTTTTTCTAGCGTACACAAACAAACTTGATTTTTTTATAATACGACAGGCATACGGCACACAGGCAACCGACAGGCCTGTTGGTCTAGTGGTTAGTGACCCTGACTGCTAAGCCGGAGGTCGGGGGGTTCGATTCCCGCCCAGAACAAATAATTTTTTGATGAGCACGATCATATGTTCTGTGTCTGAGTGTAATTTATTTACAATATGTATGTATTTAGAAATATATAAGTATATTTATCAGCAGACTGATTTTCATAACATAGACTCTGCCTAGTTTGGGACTAGACTGCCGTGTGTTAAGTTATTATTATTATTCAGTATTTAACTTCAGGTTAGTACTTTTCGCGAAAAAATAACAAATATTAATTAAGTGTAAAATTTAATAACAGGTTGATGGCAACTCTGGTAGACATGTTTGTAGAAGAGTTAATTCATCGCGTTTGTACGGTGGAGGATATATCCATGGAGATGGCAACACAGCTCACTGAGATGTACACTATTGTTGTACAGAAAGCTCCGCATTTATTCCAAGTAAGCATCCTTTGTTATTATTTATAATTAAGGTTTTTTTTAAATATTAACAAATAAATATGTAAACCAATAATTAAAACTGATTTAGACACTAAAATAAAACTAAAAATTACACACTGATAAGAAAATGTAAAAAAAGAAACATTCTAAAACCCAGTTGCAGCGTCATATATTGGGTTCAATCGTGAAACTAAACCTGACTGCCTCGGTGGTGCGGTGATAGCGGGGCGACTGTCCTGAGGTCTCGGGTTCGATTCCATAATCATGCTTTCGAAGGGTTGATGGAGTTATATCCCAATCACCTGGATAATTAGCGCTCCACTACTGTGCGCTTTTCGAGTCACTTTTTGCATCGCACAACTTATCTGTGGAATAAGTTATCGTCTGCGGTATTTCCGGACCGACACGACCTACAAGAAAATAGCCTAAAAAGCCGGCAACGCGTTTGTGACTCCTCTGAGTTGCAGACGTTCATGGGCGGCTATAGTTACATTCCATCAGGTGACACGTCGGCTCGTCTGCCCCCTCTAACATAAAAAAAAGGTTTCTGTTGTAATAAATTTATTTTTCAGTCTCCCAAGGATATAGAACAACACGTCAAATCCTGGATTAAGCTCCAGGAATTGATCTTCGTGCTCGGCGGGTCTTTGAAGGACATTGAGAACCATTGGAAAGATGGCACCGGTCCACTTGCGATCCATTTCAGAACTGAAGAAATACGCAGTCTTATCAAAGCTCTGTTCCAGAACACGCAAATGCGCGCCAATTTGCTTTCTAAAATAAAATAATTTATTCTTCTATGTTTGATGTCAGTGTCGCTCATACTCGTATAATATAAATGGTAATTAATGGCGTTTGTGTATATTTTTTATTTTACCTAAGAATAGTCCAGTAATGTGTTCAAAAAACACATTCTTAATGATATCGTCTTTTCCTCTTCAAAGATATATATATAGTATCATATACTATATAGTTAAGGATGTGTTTAAATAAAAAAATTGGTTGGGTTTTCAACGGGATAATCAGAGTAAAGTATTAGTTTAAAAAAAATACTTTGGAAAAATCGGTTCGTAGCAAGTTACTGAAAAAAATCGAACAGGTGCGAAAACGAGTTTAAAAAAATGGAAAAACAAAATATAGTAGATTGTAGAAGGTAGGCAGGTATGACTCTTGTTGCTGAATGGCTGAAATCCAGTCTCGTGACATTAAATACTTCCAAAACTATTATATGCTCCAGTACCTTCAATCAAGCTTAATGAACCAACGAATCATGATTTTAGTATCGTTATACACACATGTAAGGGTAATAGCGGCAACAATTGTAACTGCCCAAATATTCGCAAAGTAAAAAGTCGATAATAGACTATCCTGGTACCCTCACGTAGAGCAAGTTACAGCCAGAATTAGGAAGCTCAACTGGTTATTTAAAATTCTAAGACATGTCGCACCAATGGTTAAAGCCAATGAAAAGCCCTTCTAGAAGTCTGCTTACACAAATTTGCCTTGCATTGGTGCAATCTGTGCTCGTAAATTGTATTCCAGTTTGGGGAGGTGCAGCAAAGACTAAATTCATACATCTAGAACGAGCACAACGCGCTCAAAACTTTGTGTAAACTAATTATTTGACACAGTAAACTTTATTTTTATTCTACCTATTTATTTATTATTTTATGTAGTGTGAGAAAGGAACAAAGGAAATGAGAGGTACTGAATTCAAAATCGTTAGAAACTTTATGAGAAAACACGCTTTTTGTTTTTTTTTTCTCACATTAGAAGAATAAAGCCTTTATTTACCGCAATGTATATTTTTAGTTTTTTTTTAATTTTATAAAAAAAGTTTAAAGAAAGTAAAACCTAAATTAAAACTACACTATATATTACATGATAATATCTCTTTAATTCGGTTTTCCTTGAGGCAAAGGAATACTCCAACTCTCTTCATTGTTTTCTATCTGCCGCTACTCTCATCCAAAGTGGTCCTAAGGTCATTACAGGTTTTTTTTATTTTTATTTTTTTATTAGCTTCACTTGAATGTTTCTTTGTAACCGACTCCTTTGGGCATGATTTTGACTATAAACGACTTTAAACGGTCAGAATTCGTTCAAACTTTGTAGATATATCGAGGACCGATGACAATACACTAATTTAAAATAAATAAACAATATTAAAAAAGAAAAAAAAGTTTAAAAGCCTAGCTTTATTTATAGTGAATTTTAATATTTTTGTAAATTAAATTCCGATGGCCCGAAAATCCCACGGAATAGTGCTGCGTGTATGGGAGTGTATTAAGAATTTAGATATGTCAAATGTCGCACTTAACCTCAAAACTCAAAGAAAACTTCCAAAATTAAAGTGTTAATATTGTTGGTAAATGTTTTAAAGTTTAATAAATATGAATGCTATAAAAGTGATACTAAGGAGTAGAACCCCATGTGCTGTAGGGAACCGTCTCTATGCAACTACAAAAAAGAAAATATCGGATCCCGATGAAGAAGAATCGCTTCCAAGTAAATGTTTTTTTTTTTTTAAAGAAATATATATATATAGGTAATTTAATAATAAAATTAATAAGTTCTATTCTAAAATAAAATTTTAAATATGTATGTGCTAAATTAATAATGTTATAAGTTAACGAAGAAGAAATTTGAAGTACTGATCGACTTTTTATATGTTCAGTTTTCCAATATCCCGTAAGCAAGAGTTCAGACCGTCGCATGTATGTTTGGGGCCTGGCAGAGACTGGTGCGCTTGGGCTCCATATGCCTCGCGGGAAAAAAAGCAGGAAGCAATACAGAAACAATTTCTCTATGTGCTGGCACCCAATGCGATCAAGTTTTGCCGAGAGATTTGATGTGAGCACAGTATTATTATTAGGAACGTTCCTTTGATTAGTTGGTTCTGCAGTATCTAGAGTTCTTTTAATATTATTCCAATTCAATATTTCAAAATGGTATATTTACATATATTCACCGGCCACAAGAGTTGTGAGCTTTTTCATCTTAATCCTGAATGAGTGTTTTTCTATAAATCAATTAACTTGTAAAGTTTCATTCAATTATTAATATTATGAATATATCAATAAAACTGGTGAGCGATAAGACCGCCTATTGTAATACCAGAACGTAGATGTTCATCTACGTCTGTACAAAATATATGCTGTAGCAGTGTACAATAAAGATGTATAATTAAATAAAACTATGAATATAAATTGAATGAAGATTAAATATTGTAGAAAACTGAAAAGTAACACAAATTGGAATTGAATATTATTTTATTATTGCACTTGAATCTTTTTATTGTTAAACCGAACATGACATGATTATATGATTGCTGTAATATTTAATAAAATTTTAATGTTTAGATTATAGTTTAACTTACATTTAATAAATTAATAATATTAAATAGTTTACATTTTCCAAAGTATCTTACTATAATAATATAATATTTTAGGGCAGGCAAAGCAGAGCTTGTACTATGGCTACCGGAGCACTGATATAAATACATATATAATTCCAAAAGACCAAATCAAACATTAAACGTTCATGCACACAAATGTTTGACTTGAGCAGGATCGAATCTGCCACACAAACTACTATGCCATCTGGCAGTAATCATGATAAACGGTTTTATTCATGTGTTTATTTCGTGGAAGCTCCACCAGTTTCAGATCCAACGGTAGACTTCTTCAAGAAGTGATATTCTCGTCACAACTGAGATAGGCATCACTATATTTTCCAACTGAGGAAGCACTGCAGTTTTTCTAAATCATACTGCAATGCCACAAAAAGATTCTACTCCCTCTTATTTAAAACAAAAATTGTCTCAAGCAAGCAAAACCAGTCATATTCATAATAGGAATAAAGTTTGCTTTTCCAGGTAACACATGTGGCAGCAGGCTATGGCTTTACAGTAACATCTATAAAGACTAGTGAACAACAAAAGGTATTTGGCACTGGTATCAACACGGACTCACAGATTGGATATCATGCACCTAGGATCGGACATCCTCTTGAGCTACTGCTGAGTCCTTCTCCTATATTTCTGCCCTATAAAAGTCTGGAAACACGGGTAAGACAACCTTTAAGAATATTGCTTATAGTAATCATTACAAAACACCCTATGTTGCAAAATATCCCCTGGTCATTGTAGTCCCAAAACAGTTCACACACACACATTTGCTCAGGTTTTAGCAGGTCAGTTTAATTCAATATATGAGATAGCATGAGCTGCTATCTCATATATTGAATACTGCATGTATTATAAGGTTAAATTACTGATCTGTGCTTAATCAACACAAAATACTAGGTGTAAGGAATGGCACCGCAGCAACCCGTACCGATAACCGAAATAGTACATTGAGATAATTTTTCAGTCAAACATACTTGAAATTTTCTGCTTAAATTACTTTTATACAAAAATAAAAAGCAAAATAATTATCCAACAGTTAACACTATCAACTGTTTTGGTACTGCGGTACTTAGAAAGTCATACTATACATATATGTTAGTATAATTATTACTTAAACCTTAATCATGTTATTTTATGAAGAACTACTCATGGGTCACACCAAGAAGTTTGTATAAAGGTTTCATAATGCCATCCCACTCATTATTTACTAATTGAACCAGATAATCGGTCTATCAGCTGGCCGCGCTCACACAGCGGTACTCACGGACAATGAAGGTGTGTTCACATTGGGCAACAACGCCTACGGTCAGTGTGGACGAAAGATCCACAATAACGAGGAATATAGAGGCAGTATGGCAACACATAACATTAAGAAGCTAGGCGTGGAGAAGATTGTGAATGTTTGCTGTGGCCAGGATCATACGTAAGTACCTCCTTACCTATATATTATTAAAAAACAGTTGTTCGAATCTGAATTTGTTAAGGCAATTTATGTTCTATACTTTTATAAGTAACTGTTATTTTCTTTTGTACAATTTTTTTGCCAATTTTCTAGAATAGTGACCTTTAAAAACTTTTCAGTCTGTTCGTAACAGAGGGAGGCAAGGTGTACGCTTGCGGTTGGGGAGCGGATGGTCAGACTGGGTTGGGCACGTATGAGAACCAGGCTATTCCTGCTATGGTAAAAGGTGATATCACTTCTGAGAAGATCGTGAAGGTGGCTTCTACAGGAGACTGTGTACTAGCTTTAAACGGTAAGTTGGCAATTTTTTTTCAATATTATATTAAATATTTTACTGAATGTTGCTGTCCAAGTATCGTTTATAGACCTGTGGGCTTCTGGAATACCGCAATGATTAATGATAGTCGGTGCCCTGACTTCCCTAGTAAATGTTGTAACTTTTTGTGATGCTGTCATGAGTCCTCAGCTATTCAGCTAACTTCACTTGGACGTTTCTTTTGTCAGCATCATAAAAAGAAAAGTAACAATACTAATATTAAAAAACTATTAACTTCACAGAACATGGTGAATTATTTGGCTGGGGCAATTCCGAGTATGGTCAAGTGCCGATGGCGACCACGCAGCAACAAGTCAATATGTCGTATGCTCTCGTTAGTTTTACAAAAGGTTTGGGCAAAATAATTGATGTAGCTGCCGGCGGATCTTTCTGTTTGATTGTAAATGGTAAGTATACACGTGTAGTGACGGATTGTCACCACCCCAAATTATCCCGTGGGTGTCGTAAGAGCCGACTAAGGGTGCAGAACAACGAAGGACACCAGCACTGTAAAAAGGAGGCAAACTTGACACAAACCCTATACCAACACGTCTGGCCAGCGTGGTATAGTAGGCCAGAACCTCCTTTCTAAGGAGAGGCCTATGTCCAGCAGTGGACTATTAAAGGCTGTTGATGTGAAGTATACACGGTTACTTAGGCTCTAGAATTCTAGGACAACTATACGAATACACAATCCCGGCCTCTCTGTAATCTTAGCCAACTTAACTTCTTCTTGTGTCCGTCTGAAAACTATGACTTTGCCAAGGAGGCTTGGTGTCAACTGTCAGGCAGACTGTAGACCATAAAAGAAACCAGCCCAGGACCCCTTGGGAATCGGGAAAATTTCTGATAGATGATGATGATGGTGTGGCAGAAGGTGTGAATATATTTTACAATCGTATAGTAGATCCCGAGTAACGTAAAGCGGTGACAGTTTCAAAACTTACGACTTAAAAAAAGAATTTTTGTTGGTTACTACAAACTGTCATTTCAGGTAAAAATATTTTTTCTATTTGGGAGGGTAGACTTACTATTCGATCCTATTTAAATTTGAAGAAAAAGAACCATCCCTAAAGGTGTATGGTTAAGGAACAAAATTTATTACAATTCACCATGATGTAGGCGATGAAGACGTTGGTACATTTTTAAAGATAATTATTAATATTATTTACAAATTATCGATAAAGATTATATTTCAGTAACGACATGAGACAGGGCTGACTTGAATAAAACTAGGTGTTTTGTACTAAGAATGATAATGAAATGATTTAACTGAAAGTGTGCATAAAAAAGAAACATTAATACATTTCTGTACCACCAGGTAGACTGCGAGAAAATGAAATATGATCGCATGGCATTTTTCCTGTCATTCTCCTGACACAGGCATTATCCGCAATTGTATCAAACGCCAGCGTAAAATACACTTACCTAAAACAAGATTTATCTCCTCAATTGGTTTTCTTTTTATTATAGAGGCAGGCGACGCTTTCGTGTGGGGCTACGGCCTACTAGGCCTTGGACCCAACGTACAGCACTCTCGAACTCCAAAACAGATACCAGCACCCTTATTCGGCCGCAACGAATTTAATCCGACTAGTATGGTGCAACAAGTTGCGTGTGGCATTGGACATTTAGCGGCGATTACTAATTCTGGTGATTTGTACATGTGGGGCAGGAATAGGCAGGGTTGCCTCGGTTTAGGACATACAAAGGACCAATATTTTCCATTGAAAGTTTCAATTGGTGCGCATGTGCTGGATGTGGCTTGCAGTGTTGATCATAGTGTGGCAACCTGTAAGCCGTTTATATAAATTGTTGTTGTGTAGTTATCGCTTTAAGACTGTTAATGTTATTATTAATTACAAATAAATCAATTAGTATTAAAACATGGCCTTCATTTGAATAACCACTTTTTGAGTGGTTTTTAGGGTTCCGTACCTCAAGGTAAAAGAGGAACCCTTATAAGATCACTTTCTTGTCCGTCTGTCCGTGTGTCACCACCGATTTTCTCAGGAACGGGTAGACCTAGCAAGTTGAAATTTATGCAAGTCACTGAGGTCTATCGTCCCTATTAGGTGTATAAAAATCAAGGTCACCACAATAAAAACATGGGAAAATTTAGATTTTCGCGAAAACTTGTAAGTACCAAAATTTACCTTAATTTTAAGCTTTTTTTATCATTCAGGATTTTTTCTTTACTTGTGCTGCAAGACCTTGCTTTAAACCCAAATTGACAATTCTAGGTCAACCGGAAGTACCCTATAGGATTTGGGTCGAAAACCTATATGGTAGTTCCCGTTGACTTAGAATCACGAAATTTGGCAAAAAGAAACGTCTTACAGCACAAACAAAGGCATAATTCCAAAAAATAAACAAAGTAAAGTAAAATTAAGAAAAAATTTGATACAAATTTTCGCGAAAATCTACGTTAAATCTGGGTAGGTACGGAACCCTCGGCGCCCGAGTTCGACTCGTACCTGACCGGTTTTTTGTATTTATCAAAGTTTTGGTCCCGACGACCGGCATAAGGATCAAAAATTTAATCCTGCCAAAACGACTTCAGGTGGCACGATATTATACAACACGAAAAATGAGTTTTAAGTATATATGGCTGCTGGGCGAGAGCCAGTTGTAGATTCGCTTCCCATCAAAGCCAAATATTTGTCTGATGAATGTGATCATATTTTGTGTGTGTCTGTATTTAATTGATCTAAGTATGATATGTATTCAGTAAGATATGTATATGTTTATCAGCAGTCTAGTTACCATAGCACAGGCTCTGTCTAGTTTAGGGTCAAGTTACAATGTGCGAGATGTGTCAATTTATTATTATTATTACAAAGGATAATACAAAAGGAGTCACTAATATATTTTAACAATTAATTTATTACTTGATAATATGGTTGCTTATAAACTGAATTTAAAATGAAACTACATTTGAAGTGAACTCTTGGAAGAATGTTTTTGCATCAGATTGCAGCTTCATTTTGGTATCAGATACAAGATGGCATTAACATAGCTGAAAGAACATTAAACTAAAAGCATTTGTATAATATTGTATACACATGAGGTAACTGCTAACATATTTGTTTCACATCAAATTCCTAGAAATTTTAATTATTATTACATTTACTTTAAATAGGAAGGGCCCGTGCTTCACCAAGGTTCTCTACCTGGTAATGTAAAAACTTTTAGGGCTTATATTAAAAAGAAAACAATTTAATATTATTTAAGCCTTTTACTTAACAGAGGCACATTCACAGATAACTCTATATACTTTTACTGGCACATTGTTAACTAGAACACTTGCTACCATTTTCTTACTTTTTACACACAACATAGACACAGATGACAGTGACACAGATAAAACAATATACTTTATTTTAAACCTTAACAAAAACTATATGTAATTTTATGATAAAGTAATACAATCCTAACAGAGCAACTCATGACTTATTTGGAGACGGACCCATGCTTCACCTAGGTTCTCCACCTTGGTGTAGCGTGGGGTCTATATAAGGTACGATGTTCCAACTGATGACGTTATTGTACTCGTACAGTGATGCAGTGAATTGTTTTCTCTATATGATTCAAAAGATCTAAACAATTATTTAAAAGGAGTTTCTCCTTCTAAACCGCATCCAACGAAGAGCAACTCGAATCGCCAATAGCCAAAAGATTTCCGACCGGCTCGCTTGGCTTTGCGCAGAGATCTAGCTTCACTCTGAATTATCTATCGTATGTATCAATGAGTGATTCGAGGAATTTTTCGAATTAATACCGGCCGCAACTTGCCGCCATCATTCCACACTGCTAAATTTTAATACCCATCTCTTGTATAATTGGCACTCCACCACTGTGCACTTTTTAAGAACTTTTTGCTTCGCACAACCAATCTGTGGAATAAGTTATCGTCTGCGGTATTTCCTTCAAGCCTTCAAGAAAAGAGCTTACTCCTTCCTAAAGGGCCGGCAAAGCACTTGTGACTGAGTTGCTACCGTTCATGGGCGGCGGTAGCCACTTTCCACCAGGTGACCCGTCTGCTCGTTTGCCCCCTCTTTTATATTTTATTCACTTTTCATTTATTTGTTAACAAGCGGCACCATGCAAATATCGTAACGAAGGTCTGGAATTCCAAACTCAAAGAGTTCAAAACACCATGTTACCCTAAGAAAATGCAATTCTTGAGACTTTCAGCAACTAAATGTCGCAAGAAATACTGTGGACTAGTGATGCGCAAAATGTGTCACTGGCTGAAAAGATACATTTCACTCTAAAGATATATATATCTCATTTTTTTTTGCCCTGTTGGTCTAGTGCTTAGTGACCCTGACTGCTACGCCAGAGGCCGTGGGTTCGATTCCCACCCAGGACAAGTAATTGTGTTATGAGCATCGTCATTTGTTCTGTCTGGGTGTACTTTATGTATAATTTGTATGTATTTAGAAATGTATATGTATGTTCATCATCAGTCTGGTTCCTATAGTACAGGCTCTGCCTAGTTTGGGATCAGACAGCCGTATGTGAGATGTGTGATGTTATTATTATAACCTAATAAAAGTATAAAAATACATATTTGTTATTTTTTATTATTTTATAAAAGGGTGTTAATTAATAGTAACATTTTGATACTTTAATTATACAAACTTCTCAAATTATGTATGCATATATTTGAAAATGTTAATTCACACTTTCAGCAAGTATGTTGTACACATGGTATATGTTTACAAAAAACATTTCCCAGTGCTAGTAACTTAGTTTTTTTTTCCTATCCACAACTACTGCTACAACACATGTTTGCAACATGTGTTGTAGCAGTTATGAGTATAAAAGGATATCTGTGTGGATTTAAAAAATCACACCCCTATTGTCTCAGGGAAGATGAAGAATGTAAACACAATGTAGGATGCCTACTATTTATATGTATTTTACTATTTCTTTCCTTGAGAACATTGTATAGTCTGATGCAAACTTAATGGCGGCTCGGAACATCGATGCGCAGAACACAAAAATAGACCGGAGGTGGCGTAAAGGAGCGCGATGGCAGCCACGACACACGACATGCATGCCTTTTAATGTGTGAGTGACATCCGTAGACTGCACATGCGTGCATAATCCTGTCTACATACAGTCGAGTCACACACCTGTGTGCGCAGCTAACTTCAGAGCCGCTATTAAGTTTGCATCAGACTATATTAAAGATAATGTTGTCAGACAATATTTACACATCATGTAGAATATATCTATTTAATTAATGCATGTCAATACTAATGTGAAGTTGTTTGGTTATTCATTAAACACCCTAATCTCTGAAACTTTTTGTATTAGTTTTTTTTTTCTTTAATTATTGAGATAGTTTATAGCCTATATCCTACAACCCCTAGGACAGGAGCAGTGATAGTATACTGGTGAAACTGCAGAGAAATACTATTTACATATATATCAGGACAATATCAATAGAAGATCAATAATTCTATGTACACACTTACTGAAAATCATCATGGTTACGTTACGTTATGTTTATCTAGATTTTTACAGCTTATACAAATTATCTTTCTATACAGATAAGAAAAATATAAGAATTCCATATTTCAATCACTCACTTCATCATCAAGAAGTCTTTTATTTCTACTGTTACGTTTGGTTATTGAAAGAAAAGACACCAAAATAATTCGGTCGGCCTTCTCATTCAATACCACATTAACTATTGCTTGCATTCATCATGAAAAGGTTCCAAAGTACGGAAGTCACGCCAGGCAGGTGGCAGAAGCGAAGTGTGGTGGAGGTGGCAGCCGCATCGTTTACAATGCTCACTGAACAGATTCACATAACTGTGCAACCATGTCATAAATGAACGGACAGCTAGCTCTGGTAGTGTTGGCGAGTAGAAATGCAACATCGCTGCATGAGCGTTTTCTGTAACTTTTCTAAATACATGATGCCTCGACTCTGTCCACAGGTCAAGTGTTTCACCGTAGCCTTTAACCATCACCCATTCCATTAAGAGTCCTTTGAATGCCACTACAGCCTTTAAAACATGGCTCAAGTTAATCTGGACAACTGCATTGCTTGCAAATGGCCTCGAAATTGTTATTTTCATGTCGCTGTATGATCTATCAATGTTATTTATGACGTTGTCGACTTGAACAGGTGCGACATTGTGGTTACTTTGCATTTTACCGCGTCGTTTTGTGCTTCCAGAGTTTATGTACGATCGTTTAAGCGAGTTTTGACTTAGGAGTGTATGTGCAAACGAGCTATACTCATGTATCTTATCAGTCCATTTATAACTGTTTACTAGTTGCGTGTATAAAGCTTGGCGGTCTTGAGTTGTCTCCTGACTAAGATAGGTAGTTGTCCCCAAGTTGAATGGTGCAGTAGGTATCGGTAAACTATTGACAGTCTGGTCCAGCTCTCGAAGATTGATGTTTACGTTGTTGAGAAGTTCTTGCAACTCCATAAGGAACTTATCCTTGCCATCTTCGCCGTGGTCAGCACGCAGACCATTAGAAAGCGTCTCGAAAACATGACTGACACTTGAACGTAGTGTGCGTAGAGATGTCAGAGCGGAATTCAGCTGTTCCACGTTTATTGTTTGATTCATTTTGAACTTTTTAACGTACTATCAACTGTTATTACGTACATTCGTTTATTTACAATCAAGTTTTAGAGTACAACAACCGCGATATGTCCATCCAATTGTCATTGTCATTATTGTCAACCAGTGTTGCCAAGTCTAGAAAGCCTGGTGCGGTTCGCCAAACAATACCACAACTGAGTACTGTGTTGTGTAGTCTAATAAGGATCTCTTGATCGTTACGCAGATTGTAAATTCTTCTTACTTATAAATTGGCATGAATTAAATAATATGCTATTAAGTTGCAAAATGGACAGCTCAGTTAGAAGGTTTTGGTTTAAGGAGTAGGAAAAAAATGTTCTAAAACTTTTAAATCAAAATTTAAACTGTGGCAGTTGACAAATTACAGTTCTACTTTATACTGTATAATATGTAAATAATGACAACGCCACAGCGTTAATCGTTATTCCACTTAAGTCAATAACGAAAATCTATTGGTTGCTTATAACAGATCTCGTCTCCTTTCGTTTCATGTCTGCTTTGGAATACGGGCCGAAACAGTTGTGCATTATTTTGCACCACAATGGTCTTAGAACATTGAAACCTTCCATATGGCCCATACTTCGGCCCAGTTTGTTAACTACAATTTTGGTAATGGAAATTATCAGCGACAAAAACAATAATGTGCAAAATAATGTATCAACGACACAAAAATAGTAAAAAAAGAGGATATAAGTTCCTAAAAAAATGTATTAGATAAAATTTAAGCAATTTTTATAAAAATCTTAAAAGTCCAATATCTTAATATTGGTTAGGTTTGGGATATGGTAGCAATGATGACAACTACAACATCCTAAAATATCTAGGTCGACTTAAGGAGTAACCCTGTATACATAGGTATTATGTATGTATACCTATTATGGTACGGACATCCTATACAATGTTGGTTTATGTTATGGGCAATGATATAGCAATTTACATTAAAAATGTAATTAAATGTGGTCTAAAATCGACTGCCTCGGTGACGCAGTGGTAGCGTATGCGACTGCTGTGCTAAGGTCTCGGGTTCGATTCCCGGGTTATACCAAATGTTGTTTGATCTACAAATATTTGTTTCGGAGTTTGGGTGTTTTCTATGTATAATATGTATTTATTTACAAAAAAAAAACAGTACATAAGTATTCTATCAGTCAATCTAGCTTTCATAGTGCAAGCTCTGCTTAGTTGGAAACTAGATGGCGTTGTGTGTCAGATGTCCGAATATTCATCATCATCATCAACAGCCTTTAATAGTCCCCTACTGGACATAAGCCTCTCCTTAGAAAAGAGGATTTGGCCTACTATACCACGCTGGCCAGACGGGTTAGTATAGGGTTTGTGTCAAGTTTTCCTTCTCTCTGCAGTGCTGTTGTTCTGCGTAGTTTTTTCCCTTAGTCGGCTCTTACGACACCCACGGGATGAATAGGGGTGGTGACACTCTGTATTCTTAATCCGTCACCACACGAACCACACGGACGGAGTATTTTATAAATCGCGCCTAAATATAGTCGAATTAGAATGTGAAATTAAAGTCACTTCGATGTCCGTCGTGGCAGAGTGAAATCCATGCATTTCCTTAATACTAAAATTAATTATATTATGGCTAGATTCAACTATTTATATCTAATTACTATTTTTAGCAAAAAAGGCACTTAAGTGTACAAGGCTCGTGAAATTACAGTGCAGTGGAAACAGTTTATTATCAAAATTTAAAATGGACTATGAATGCCAGTGTTCAATAGTAGGTAATACTCATTATAAATACTGAACGTCTTTTGATAAACGTGTCTTGAACACAAATATAATTTAACTTTAAAAAGTATGACCGACTTCAATACGCGTAAACTATGACAAATTGGTGTAAAATGGTGTTTTTTTTATTTAATTTGGATAGGACCAAACGGTAAGCGTACCCTCCCAACTGAAAGAAAGAATTTACCAAATCGGTTCATAAATGAAGGAGTTCTGAGATAAACAACATAAAAAAGTCGCTTATTTTTTTTTATAATAATATATCTCACACATGTCACACACGGCCGTCTGGTTCCAAACTAGGCAGGGCCTGTACTATGGTAACCAGACTGCTGATAAATATACTTATATATTTTTAAATACATACATATTATAGATAAATTACACCCAGACACAGAACAAATGACCGTGCTCATCACACAATATTTGTCCTGGGTGGGAATCGAACCCACGACCTCTGGTTTAGTAGTCAGGGTCACTAACCACTTTATGTTTTAAAGAGTCTTGTAATGTATATTCCAATTAGAACAGTATTTACAATCACACGTACATTTCTTTGAAAGCCCACTATCAGCAGTCTAGCTTGACGAATTGAGTAATCTTTTAGGTCCGAATATTATTATTATTATATTATTTTTCTAGAAACGAATACTTACAAGTAATAATAATATACAAACAAGAGGAATATACACCACCAACGTACAAATTCAAATTCAAATTCAAATAATATATTTGCTATAAATGGGGTGGTACATGTTGTGGTATTAAAGGTTCAATATAGTGCGAACAGGCCCATTTAGCCATGAAGATATTAATTTAACATTATTATTATTATTTTAACATTTTTTTTTTTTTTTTTTATTTATTTATATCTTTATTGTTACACTTAGAAACACTTATTGTTACACTTAGAAAAAAAAAGAAACAGAATACACACAAAATCATTGATCAATGACCCCATGCTAGGAACATCCTGTGTTATGGGAGTCATCCATCCGTCTGTAATGTGTTCAGGTGTGCTTTAAATGTGATAGCTGTTTATATATATTTATTTTTAATGATACATACAAGAGAAGGAAGTAAGAAAAGAAAATAAAAATAAAAAGACAATATATATACATGTAGGAATGTGTGTGTTAGGGTGGGTAAGTTCGTTAGGTTGGTTCGTTGGTTGGTTGGTGTGGTAGGTAGTGCAAGTGTGTGCATTATTGTCAACCTATAATAACGTTAGGGAATAACATTTACCTTGCATAATATTTGATTGTGGGTAAATATTGATTGGAATAAGTGTAAGTGTAGATATATTTGTGGGTTGGTGAATAGAGCATAGGTTTAGAAATCAAATGACTGTTCATTTAATCAGATCTTCTGTTTCATCATAATTTAGGGTTTGGAGGTACTGTTTGATTCGGTCTTTGCAGTGGTGTGTGTTTAAAGTGTGTATGTTAAGTTTAGTGTTTAGCTTGTTATATATAAGCGTACTTAGGTATGGGTAATGTCTACGTGCAAATGTTGTACGTGTGTGGAATTTGGGAAATACCGGCATTGGCCTCCTTCTTCTATTGGGGCTATTAATATTAATATTTGGGGGGAAAGTTACGTGCTTGCGCAGGGCGGTGCGGTGAATAAAAAGCTGTCTGACCGTGAGAACTTCATAGTCCCTATACAACTGCTGGGTAGAGTAACGAAAGGGCTTGTTAAGGAGTACTTTTATTACAGCTCGTTGAGCTCTTTCAGCCTCAATGATGATGGTTTTTGCTGCTCCTCCCCATGCAGTTATACAGTAGCTTATAATTGATTCACACAGTGCACTATAGACCATTTTTATTATCTTAACGTTAGCTGATGTTCTTAACTTCTTGAAGATAAATATAAGTTTCCTAATGCGTGACGACAGCGACTGTATGTGGAATTTCCAGGACAGACAGGAGTCCAGTAGCAGTCCGAGATACTTCACCACCGAAGCTCTGGCCACTGTAGGACATGCGCAATTGTGAATTGGAATATCACATTGATGGGATTTGATAGTAAGAGAAGGCTCAGGTGGCAGGGTAGAGAGACGCGATCCAAAAGTGATGAATTTCGTTTTCTCAACATTTAGCGTTAGGCTATTACTGGCCAACCAAGTTCCCACCTGCTTCAGTGCAGATTCTGCTACATTCTTTGCGATATCCCAGTCACGCCCATATGTTACCATTGCTGTGTCATCGGCATACGCGATTATGTGGGTAGAGGATATGTTAAGGTTACAGAGATCATTGACATAGATGGAGAAGAGAAGAGGACTGAGTAAACTACCCTGCGGCACACCGTACTCCATCTGCATGTCGGTACTAATGTATTTTCCAACCTTAACACATTGCGTTCTTTCAGAGAGAAAGCTTTTAAATAAAGAATAAGTTTTCCCACGTACTCCTACTGTTTCTAGTTTGTTTAGAAGAATAGGCACAGAGACAGTGTCAAAAGCCTTAGAGAGGTCTATAAAGATAGCCAGACACTTGAACTGTTTGTCAATTTTATCTGTAATGCAATTAAGCAAAGCAGAAACAGCGTCCTCCGTGGATACACCTTTCCTAAAACCAAACTGATTTTGAGAGATTAATTTATATTTGTTTACATAATTGTTAAGGTTTTTGTAAAGAATTCTCTCTAAAATTTTTGAGATCACTGGTAGGACCGATATTGGTCGATAATTATTGACACTGGCTCTGTCACCAGATTTGTAAATGGGATGTACGATGGCTTTTTTTAGGGCTTTAGGGAAAATACCTGTAGATAATGCGAGATTGCAGATGTGTGTTATAGGTGGTACTAATACATGACTCGTGGTTTTTAGGAGTTTAGGAGAGATACCGTCCCAGCCCGCGGCGCTATCCATCCGGAGATTTTTAATAATGCAGTCCACCTCTACTTCATCCGTCTCTAATAATACCATGGAATTGCACACGGTAGATGAGCTGTCAGGAGATAAATTAGTGATTTTTTTGGGAATTTTATCCGCCAGCTTCTTACCAATCGATGCAAAGAACGAATTAATGGACTCAACTGATGCCTGCGGTGACGGTTCTATTTTTAACAAATCACCGGGTGGAGGGTTTTCACGGTTTGTTTCGGTGACCTTTCTAATGGTCTCCCACATTTTTTTTGGATTATTTTTTGCTTTTAGGAATTCGTTTTTCTCATATTCAGTCTTAAGTTTTTTTAGCAGGCTATTGCAAAAATTTCGGTAACGTAGA